GACACTGTAAATCAAGGTATGGTTGTAATGAGTCCCCAGACTGAAATGACAAGTGCAATGACAAAATAATGACTCACCAAATCTATAGGGTTAGCCAAGTGACAAAAAAATGACACAAGAAATGACAAATCCTGACCCCTTTTAAATGACAAAAAATGACAAATAAATGACAAAATATTTATTTTAAGATTTCCAACCTGTACTGGCCAAAGATTTCCATAACACCAGCGCACAAAAGGACTTTACGGAACAGCTCACTGAATCTTAAGCAGGCACGCCAGATTGACCAGACCTGGTATCCCATGACTGTGGTAGCTTCGTTGAGCGCGGTCCCGCACGCATGCTGTTATACGTAACCCTTAGAATTGGCAAACACGGGGTCGACACACTCTCACTCACACGGAGAAGGGACACACAAACGCCCGGCTGCGGGCAGGTGCCCTTTACGTTCAGTGTGCTGCCAATGGGCGAAAAATGGGGATTCAGTCCGGGGTGCCCCGGATGTGTTTCGTGCTTCCCACTTTGCAACAGGCTATGTCCTCAACGGTGATCAGCGACTCATCAAGAAGCAGATTGCAGAATTGGACGGCTCAGGGAGGTCGCCACTCCTTGTCGCAGCCAGTCTTGGGCATACTGCAGCAACGGCCTCAGGATGGGCCTGAACATGTTCAAGCTGTCGCACTATCACTGGTTTTTGTGTAGCAGGCTGAAAGTACGCCTTCCAATGTACGTTTTTCATCGGAGAGGTATTTCTTCCTATTGCGCTGGTGAGACCGCTGCCCATCCGAGGTAGTGGCACGTCTCCTAGAGATCCCATGCTGCAGGGAGCAGTTGGAGAGCATCACAAGATGCGGCGTTACTGCCCTGCATGCAGCCGCATTTGCCGGGCATCGTGATGTCCTGGAACTGCTGCTGGACAGAAATCACTGCGAAGAAGCAACACTGCATTCATTTTCTTTCACGGGCAGCAATGGATGCACCATCCTGCAGGAGCGCTCTGCGAATTTGCAGCTGCCTGATGGCAACGGGATATCTGCTCTTGGTCACGCTGCAAGAGCCGGACATGTGGAACTTATGCGCTGGCGCCCTGGCAGTGAAATCGAACACCGCAGTCGTTGAGCAGGGAGTGAGGACTTGCGCCTTTGTGCGAAATAAACGTCAGCTTAAGGCCGCTACGTGCCAGCACACAAAATGCAGTTTCCCCATTTGCCTGCAATTTTATTGCTGGATGCATGGAGTCTGAGGCTCCTCGAGCGTGGCTTGGAGCCCGATGCTCGCAATGCCGCTTGACAACAGTTCTGCTAAAATGTTAGCCTTGCCGCCGGCCCGTGCACATGTCCGAGGGTACGTTTTGCCACCAGCTCGCAGCTTTGGAAGAGCATGCGGCTTGGGAAAGTCACTGTGCGAAGGATAGCGAGCGAACCGCCTTGCACTTTGCCGCTGCAGCTGGTCAAGTACATCCGCCCAGCTATGAGGCATTGGCAGCGAAGGAGGAATCCCAGTTGCCTCGCAGGTCTCTGCTTGCGAGGTCTTGCTGGACGTTGCTGAGGCCGGCTGCCTGTCCTCAAGCTTGGCATGTACCCGTACACACCATGCACATGCCATGTGCTTGATCGAAGTCTCCGCCTCGCGTCTTAGCACGCTGCAAGGAGTCATCTGCACTGCTGGAGGCACAAGACTGGGAAGGGGCAACAGCGGCCCATATGGCTATCAGAGGTGCCTTGTGGTGATTCTGCGTTGTTTCAGTGGCAAGCGCCAAAGAGGTTAAGCAGTCCGGAGCGTTCCCACAATCTCATGCTGAGATACACTCGGATGCAGAATCTCTGTAACCTGTCTGTAAAGTAGGTGGCCATGCTGCCGTCTGCCGGCTCCTAGCCACACACCGTGCTGACCTCCAGGATGCTGGTGGATGCTGTTTTGGAGCAATGGTGTGAGCTGGGGCTTCTATTGCACAGGCTGACTTGGACTTCGGCGTCACACCCCTGCAGATCCTTGGATTTTGCGATATGTGGCATGGGTCTTGATTTCTAATTCCATGCATGAGGGCAACATCCTTTGGTTCTTTTGAATTTGACGTGGTTGCCTGTGCCATTGAGGGCTCTTATTCTATTTACTCTTGTTTTGGTCATTCCGGCCGCGGAGGGCGGAAACTTAATGCCTCTGGCCCCAATTGACCCAGACCTGTCTCACTCGCCATTCAACCCAGTGCTGATTTTTCGCGGGCTCAACAGTCCTAGTACTGTGCAGCCAGTTGCAAGCGGCACGTGAGCAAGTGAAGGAAGTGTGGCGTGGCCTTCGAAAGACAATCTCTGCTTGAGTTTTTCTAGAGGGATCCAGCTGACTTTCTGCTCTCCTTCTTTACGTGTCTGCTTTTTCTGATTGGCTTTCCTCAGGTCCTCCTGCTTTTCCGCTTTCGTGTCCTCATCGCAGTGCTTTGTGTCGTGAGGACTCCTGCCCATGTTCAACACATGTTGAAACCTTCCTGCCGCGTATGGCACTTGCTCTTCGTTTCGATGTTAGCTCTGCAAGTATTGCAGTCACTATGATTACCGCCATTTGTTTTTTTGCAGTGTACTGTGAGCACTCCAGTTCTTATGTCGCGGCTCTTCTCATCGTCCAACCGTTCTTGACGTTCTTAGTAATGTCTTAATTCTTTCTGTCGAAGTGAGGTTGCTTTCGTGTGTCCTTACCCGGAACCCCCCACTGTCTTTTTCCAAATTTCTCTGTAACAGCGCCCTTAGTAGTGTTTGGGTTGATACTTCTGTATCATGACCATGACAGTCACAGTCACTGCTGGGAAGTCTCACTATTAACATCTAAAATTGTTCAACGCATCTCAAAGTTAGTATGATCAAGACAGACATGTTTCACCAGACGAGTTTGAAGGGGCAGAGGGGTGGGAGTGGCTCGCCCCACCCCAGCTTCTCAACACCCAAGACAATCCAGGCCACCTGAAGAGCCAGCGAAGCCAAGCTTTCTGATCTCCTGATCGACGATATCATGATTGTCGCTGCATTCTCCCTACTCTTCTTTCGATTGCTGCTACTTACCAGTTACTAGTATAGAGTGTGTTCTTACTATTCGTCCTAATGCCATCTCGTTGCGATTACTTGTGTTGCTGATGCTGTTGCTGTCGCTGTCGCTGCCTGCTGGTGCTGCCTGCTGGTGCTGCCTGCTGCTGCTGCTGCTGCCTGCCTGGCTGCTGTTGCTGCCTGCCTGCCTGCCTGCCTGCCTGCCTGCCTGCCTGCCTGCCTGCCTGCCTGCCTGCCTGCTGCTACTGCTGTTGTTCTTGTGGTTGTGGTTATGGTCATGGTTGCGGTTGTGGTATTTGTGGTGGTGGTGGTGGTCGTTGTGGTTGTGGTTGTGATTGTCGTTGTCGTGGTTGACGACGTCGTCGTGGTTGTCGTTGTCGCCGTGGTCGTCGTTGTCGCCGTTGTGGTCGTGGTCGTGGTGGTCCTTGTCCTTGCCCTTGTCGTCGTCGTCGTCGTCGTCGTCGTCGTCGTCGTCGTCGCGGCTGCTGCTGCTGCTGCTGCTGCTGCTGCGCCTGTTGTTGCTAGCCGCACAATTTCGACCAGTGGCTAACGAGCCATCTGCTCGCCGCAGCTACTACTCTTGACAATGTGTTCTGTAAGACTGCTATGTTTTCTGGAATGATTCCACGTAAGTACTTTGTGCCATTTCCCAACATCATAGTTGTTGCTACTATTGGTTTGTACGATTATTGTTGCCGCGGTCTCCACTATGCTTCGCGCGTTTAATGGCATGACTACACACACACATTTTGCGTTCTTATAGCGGTTGTTGAAAAGGCACCTGGTTAGAGAGTGATTCTTAAAGCGTGAAGAAGTCGAAGTGCGATTAGCACTAGCATGAAACATCTTGATGCTATTGCAGGCAGTGCTCGAGTAATCATAGGCGCAGCAGCAATTTCTACTTGGTAGCTACGGCATGGAAGCATGACACGGATACAACGGCTTCTACCAAAACTGCGATCACAACATTCCGACCAGATGTCCTAGCCACCTTACAGAGCTAGACAAGCAAACGATAAGTTTCCAATATTGTTGGTGGCTATCTCATGTTTCGAGGCTGGGAAGACCCCCAGCTGCGGCATTCGTGGTTTTTCGGGCTTTAAACCACCCTCCCATGCTCTATTCTCCAGTAGTTCCACAAACTGCACCCGAAGGCAATGGATCATACTGGGACAACTTCGGGTTTTCTGCCGAAGTCCATGCGCGCTCAAGCATGGAATTGCAGCTTGGGCCAGAACGTCGCGCAAAGGTTTGCAGCAGCCGAGGATTGCAGCCGACTCTGGCCACCAGGAGGTGCTGCTGCAGCCCGGCAGCGAAGCCCAGTTAAGCTAAAAGCAGACCCGCCGCTCCTGGCCGTTTGGACAAAGCTTTTGCTGCATGGTTTGCATGTTCCGTTGAAGTGCAGTACCTCAGCCCAGGCTGCTCCTCGAAGATCTGGCAGGCGACGCGCATCCAGATGTTCCTGGTCGCAATTACAAAGCCACATGTCTGGACTTCCTGGCTTTGCCCACAGGCTCTGACTAGAGGGCCAAGGCCACAGTAGTATGAACATCTCCCTCAGCAGCTTCATGTCATGCCAAATCGCTCCTCTGATAGGACGTCTGAAAGCATGTTGGGCTCTCGAGTCAGCTCGCATGGCAATCAAAGGCCTTGCACAAGGCCCTGACAAAAGGCCGCGTGTCGGATGGTCGTACCCCATGGCTCCTCGCAGCAGCCGAAGGGCACCGACAGGGCTGCGAGAGCATCTGGTGTGCCTCAAAGGCAAGATTGAAGTTTACGATCGCAGTACCTGTCAGACACCAAAAATGACTTCCGAGATGCCATCTGGTTAGCCTAGCTGTGCAATTCTACAACCACAAGCATGGATGATCCCTGACCATGGTCTCATCACTTGGAGAGGGAGCCAATGCCGCAGGCCTGTCTGGGTATGGACCTCCCGTTATCTCATGACCGCGCTGGACGTACCGCTCCTTGACTTATGCTGTTCGTTCAGAATCAAAGTTGCAGGCCGCCTGGTGTGCTGGCCACCCTGAGGCAATGATCCTGGCCGCAAAAGGTGGCCACGTCGACGATTCTCGGCTAAAGACCGCATGTGATGCAGACCCAGCAGTGAATGCCGAGAGTTCTTTGGACCAGGGATTCATGCGCTGGCAGTTAACCGCTAACCTATGTTGGCGTTCCCAAGAACACGTGTGGGATTGTACTGTTCCATTGCTTGTAGTTTTCGGACTGACCTCATTCACAACCAATTGAATTCATGATTCTTGCTACCAACAGACATGGCAAGACAAGCCAGGCATGTTTTGACTATTGAGCTGGCTGGACCCTTTACGCTTTGACAAAAGCTCGTTGAGAAGGCAGATCTCATTTTCGATTTACGAGTGCAAGTTCAAGTAATGTTAGGCTACTGAGAGCGGTCTAAGGCTGAAGTGGTTGAGAGGGCCCTGGGATTGGCTCGGGGTCGGGCTGCCAAATTTGTTTCTGCTGCGGCTAAGGTGTGCGTCTGGCTGACTGAATCAGGTTGTTGCCCTGGCGAAGCTTTCTTGCAAGAATTGCAATGAGCACTTCTTTCACTGCCGTGACAACAGCTTCCCAAATCCTTGAATGTTTGTGTTCCTGAACTAGCAAACAAGAATATCTGTGTGCATCCCAGCTGATTAGATGGCCTTGTTGGTCTAGGGCCTCCACGAGCGGGACGCCTGCGGCTGGACACCACTGCATGCTGCGAGCGCAGAGGGCCACAAGCCAATGGTGGAGTGGCTCCTGTCCCAAGGTGCAGCACCTGTCTTTTCAGCATCTGCTCATGAGCAGAAAACAGACATTCGAGCAGTTCATGGTATGTCTTGTCCTGGTTCATGAGCACACCTGAACCGCCCAAGCCATGTGTTTGATGCGTATCAGTGTATCGTCAGCTTGCAGGAGCTGACCTGCTTTCTGTGGACGAAGACGGCCGCACAGCACGAAATTGGGCAGAGCTGCGGCAGCACGGAGCAATCGAATCTGTGCTGCGCAGAGCCGAGAAGGATGCGTCAGCAGCCGCTCATGCTTAGCCTAACCCCAAACAATTCCCACCTTCCCCAAAAAAGACTGCCATGGAACAAACGTGGCTGTTTCACAGTGCATGAGTTGCCTTTGACGTGCAAAGCGTGGTCCAAAGTCTGAAGCGCGAAAATTGTTGAAGTTTGAGGTCTACGTATTCTATTCTGGCCTGGCAGCGCTGTGCACATCCAGTCGGAATGCATCGCAGATAATCAGAATTCTTCCAGGCGGAGTGTCTTGACAAGCGTGCAGGCTGCAACTTTCTCCTACATCCTGGCCACGTTGGAGCTGCTGCTGCATACGGCTCCTGGCATGCATTTTTCGCAGGATGCTGGAAAGGTTGTTCTATGTGTGATTTTGCTTCGGAAGCACTTGGCATGCCAAAGAGGCTTGGGCCCTTGGCACTCGCTCCGGGGCAAGGAATCCAGAGCTGAACAGCACTAGACGAAACCCATCTCAGGCCGCCCTCCCCAGCCAAGCGCAAGCACCCAGGCCTCGACCCTGGAGCTCTACTCAGGCCATCTTGGCAATTGGCCCTGGTAAGGGTTCTGGAGTGAGAAGCTGCATGACAGACCGGATGCTCAGTCTGTCCCGCACCTGCGCGCTGAGATGCAACTTTAAATGAAAATGAGATGAAGATTGTTTGAGATGTTCACGTCACCGGATATGGTTGTAGAGGACAGATAGCAAGGCATGCTCTCGGGCAGACAGCTGATGTCATAAGTCAGAAACGAAAGACTCCCGTGGCAAGGCTCCGTTTCTTTCAAGTGCGAGGGCCTGAATCCGGGCGATCACGTAGAGGTGACAGCCCCGGTCCGTTACGGCCTCTTGGAGGCGGGTTTGGGGTGCCTTGAGCTTGCGGTATGTGCCGGCTTACATAGGAAGCGGCGCGTGCATTGAAGCAACCCTGGCAAGGTAGCCGGTCAGGCGTTCACTGTGCTTCTTCTTTGCAGCTGCCTTACTGGTACTGCTTTGGAGAGCATGCCACATGTGCAAGGACGCGCATGCTGAGCACGTCATGAGCTTGTCAACCACGGGCAGCACTCATGAGAAGCCTTGCCAAGGCATTCTCATGACACCCTGCAAGGTTTGCACAGCAGCTCGTTTGTGGCTCATAACCCCTCATAGCGGCTAACTAGGTGTCTGGTGATGCCAGCGGGCTCCGGGCCATTGGGTGAGGTGCCTGGCCTGGTTTGGGATGAGAAGCGACAGCGGTATTTTCGCAGCAAGGGCCCGGGGCGCCCCGCCTCTGCAGCTTCAGAATCTCAGAGCAGCAGCCTCAACGCTGGCAATGGTGCTTTGCGGGAAGAGCCTTTGGTACAGGAGGTACCTGTTGACCAGGCCGTCATGCAAAGCTTAAGAGAAATTTCCTTCAACATAAAACGCTTGCGGAGAAGCAACAAAAAACAAATACAGCAATCAGAGTGCTCTGTTTGCCTGGAAGCGCTGGAGCAAGGCGAGCGAGTTCTGGAGCTGCCCTGCAAGCATCTTTTCCACAAGCACTGCCTGAAGCCATGGATGCAGCAACGCGGAAGCTGTCCAAGCTGTCGGGCTCCAGTTGATGTTGCCCTTAGTGCGGCGCAAGCTGCCGCGTGCTCTACCAGAAGAACATAACACAACGTCTGCTTGACTTCCTTCATCACGAATGCCGAAGGTCAAGTTCGTGGGTTCGTTCACCATGTGATAGTCACAGTATTGTCAACAACATCATCTCAAACCTCTCGCCTTCTGGCGTGCGACCTCATTGCCACGCACTGCTGTGCTCGCATGTGCTCGTGTACGCTGGCTGAAGCAGTATCACAAGATCTAAGATAGAAGATAGCAGGCGACATCCGCTCGACCTTCGGCACAGGGGCAACCAGGCATGCGTGGACTAGGGCATTTTCTGCCCGGAGCGCCACGGAAACAACAAAAGGCTCGTGCATGGATCTTATTCTTGCATGTCCCCAGTATATGAGAGTGATTGTTTCTAGCGCAGCTTGGAAATGCAAGGATGGAGAAGCGATGCATCATATAGCAGTTATAGCCTTATAGCAGCACAGACCGGCCCATGTCCTACGCTGCTTGCTTTTCCCAGACAGCTCCCTCGGCAGAGCTCATCCCGCAGCATCCCGCGGGCTGTGTTGGTACTGGCTCGTGAGTTCTTAAATCAATCAAGATTTTCGAGAATGTCGCTCAGGTGTATCGCTCTGGTTGAATTTTCGCGCTGAATGGCGGATCTGCTGCAGCTGCGAAGCACCCCGACCTAACTAGGTTTCATGCGCGCGCGCAACACTCCTGCCTACTTCTGAGAGTGTAAATGTGCTAACTCCTGGGGGTTTGGTACGAGGTTACTGAAATCAAGGGTATTAATCTTGCCTGAAACTATTCGTTTTTTGGTATGCCTTTGAGACATCGTGTGGGCCGTTGTCGAACTTGACTACTGTCCTTTTTGGGAACCTACCGAGCGTGCAATCAGTTGGTAGCTCGCAGCACGACGAGCCTGGTTGGTTCTGTAGAGGGCCTGACAGTAGTTATTCCTTGGGTTTTGGTACGGCTCTGTTGAGAATCAAGGGTTTTCATCGCCAAGGCTTTGACGGAACTACCCAACTACCCTCTTACCTCTGGACCCCTCCCGGCAAAACTCTGCACAAAGCACAAAACAATCAGGTGCCTGCTGTGTGTGTGTGCGTGCTACCAACTAGAAAGATGTTTCCATGGGACATTTTAAGATCATTTGGGACTAGTAAATGGTTTACAGTGACCATGAAGTGCATCACACAGGGTAATTTTTATGACCATGAAGCTGGGAGATGCATCACATGTGGAAAGAGGATAACTCAGGCCTAATTATCCATGAGCTCGCTTCCATTTTCGACCAAGAGTCTCAAAAACAGCGCATTGGCGGACCTTTGCAGGCAAAGGCTCTGCGTGCAGCCTTTGGCGAGGATTACCTATGTCGGCCGCTGATCTGCCCACGAAGCAAGTGCCTGGGCTGGCAAACCTGCAGCTGAGATCAGCTGAGCATTCCCTGATATTTCCTGCATGTTTGTAGCCTGTAGGTTTCGGTCTTATACCCCAATGGAAGAACAGTCTAAGTACACTGCACTTTAGCTGCTTGTGAGAAGTTTCGTGACAATGCGCCTGATGTCTTGCTCATGTGTTGCTCCCCCAGAAGACCCTACGACAGACATGTTTGATGCACACCGCATTGGATTTTGTGTTGGCAAGAGAGAATTGGAACATGCTTGCACGGATACTTAAATTTTGCGTTTCCAAAATGATTACCATCCTACATGCTTTGTTCTAGTTCTGCTGGATGGGCCTTCTGTCCGATTCGGAACGCTTGCGCCGCGCATTGTCGGAAAGCTCTTCACAAATTTGCGTACTGCTCTGATGCAGACTCACTGGACTCAAAGCCTCCTTGCCAAGGCATCCAATGCTTTCCCAGGCCTCTTGGATTCGCGCAGTAGTTGCCCAGGATGGGCAGTGCAACAGGATCCGTGGCATGCGCAGCTAAGGTCTATGGAAAAGAGCTGTTGCTGATCGAAAAAAATTCAGGTGAGCTTCCGCTATCGTATCCAGACTGCTGGGGAGAGGACAGCATCGACTTTGGTTCTGAAATTTCAGCATTTGCCGTCCCGATCCGTGCAGACCTCCTGAAGCAGGACTCTGACTCGCTGCAGTTGCAGTTCCAGGACTTCTCTGAATTTTGGCTGATGCTTTAATTAGAGGGATGGGCTGTGTGGCGATGCGACAATGATTGTTACAACAGCATCATTGCCACAGCAGAACTTACGCCTTTTCTGAAGATATACCACATGCAGAGAGTGATTTCACTCCATTGCACACCTGAGGAACAGGCTACACTGCCTGCCCGTCGCCGCACGAATTTGTTGATGGTTGGAGGTTAGGCCAAACACGTGGGAGATGGGCTCCTTGTCCAGACTTTGAGAGTCCAGGTCTTGGGATTGTCCTTCTCCACGGCGCATCCACATCCTGCCGCTGGCTGCAGGAAGCATTCCAAGGACTGAGCAAACACAGATACCTGGGACGGAAAGGATGCATCAACTGTTGCGCAAAACCTGACAAGCGCAAAGGCAGTAAGAGGGATGCAAGTATTGCAGATATTGCAGAATGCGAGACCGAGGTTGGGGCTGCATCAATGAAATCACCCTGGGACAATCTGGTGGACTCTTCGATGTTGAGTCACAGCTCCTCTTGTCGGCTGCTTAAAAAGGTCGTGCTCGTGCTGAAGTCCACAGCCACGCCACCAGAAGAGTCAGAACTGTTCGTAGTCCACTGAGATTAGTTCCCATCAACAGGTCCAGCAACTGAGTTATGGCTGCAATGGACAAATGAGTAAGCCTGGGCCATGTGCATTTATCAAAGCAAACAGCTCAGCCTTGAGGCTAGGCTCCTGTGGCCGGCACAATGGAAGCGGCATTCCCTGTGTGAGCCTCGACTCGAAATTTACTGGAATCTGATGAGTGCAGCCGAGTGATACTCTTTCGAACTTAGCACAGATATGTGGTGACTTGATAGTTTTCGCGTTGAATTGGGAAGAGTTGCAAGGGTTATCACATCAGCAAAGCTTAGATTTTGTGGCGGCATTGCGCTCCAACTTGTCACCCTGCGACTGAGGCTGGCAGCTTGCTGCTTGGCAGTTCTATTGCTAGCGCAGATGGTCATCCTGGCCGCAGGTGTCAAAAGTGCCTTGGCTTTACGTACATTGCGGGCTGCGATGGAAACGTACGCTGAATCCAGCGAATTTCCAGACTTGGTGTGTGCTGCAGCTGCAGGAGACGTCCTGCAGGAGGATGATCAGAGCCCTGGATGGCAGTGACTGTTCGGGGCATGCGACCAGTGGCAATTCATGGGTGGTGCTTGCACAGACCGCTCTGCACTTGTGCATGCCATCTTGTCGCAAGTTGCGACATCATAGACCAGCATTGGCATGCAGCATTGGTTTACCATGGTTTGCCAACTTGCATGGGCTAAGAAGCTGTTGTCTTTCGCGATGTGCTGCGGGACGACCCTTCAATGTCATCGGATTTCTTTCTGATGGTGCGGCCTTGATTATTCTCATGGCTTCCTGCACTGTTGGCCTCTCACTTTGTTTGCTGCAAAGGATGGCAATCACGCTGATGGACTTCCGTGAGTATCAGGATAATCTTCTGTATGGGGTCCTGGCAGACCAACAGGCTGGGCGAAGAATGAGTCATTGCCAGAGAAACATTGGCTGCTGGTTTGAGGATGTCAATAGACCGACGCGCATGCTAGCGCTTCGATGCGCTTCGTTCAAGATTCCCGGGCAGGTGCGGAGCCATGTCTGGTTGCGCCCAGAAGCGGATAGCTGGGACTTCGCGGACTTCCTGCAGGCCGCAGTTGTTCTTTGTAAAGGTGGTAAGCACAGGGCTCATGGGTTGTGGTAGTGGTGTGTTGAAGGACAACAGTTTCTGAAGACATCTGAAGACCATGCCTGCAATACAACTGCACAGAGGCCATGGGACCCCGTATTCCGTATTTGCGCATATGCTAGTCCAGGAATCGACAGCAGCAAGCCGTGGCAAATGGCGGAGAAGTCAGGGGGTGCCTGGGCAACAGATCATGTCATGGCAGCATTCTGGTGGAATGTGTCGCCGGTTGCCCTGCATTCGTTGTAATTCAGGTCTGTTAGAGGGCATTTTGTACTAGCAGTCCCACTATGTTAGCAGCCCTGTTGCAGGTTGTCGGCGGCATTCGCTCCTCAGCTGCAACCCCTTGTCCCAGGTATGTGCGTCTTCATGCAAACCTTGGGAATAAGAAAGCACCTGGGAGTTTCCCAAAAATTGTTTTTTTTTGAATTCCGGGGTTTGTGCTAGTCAGGACCATATTATGCTGGGGTGCAAAGGGGCACCCCTATTCTGGAAACTCCCACCTCTCCTACAAGATTCAACACGATCCGATGGTCACCCGTAAAGGTATGTAAGCGCTTTAGCAGAATCAGCCCAACAATGCTGACGTTACGAAAACATTCCATCAACGGGATTCTCCAAGGCCAAGCATCCCAAGAGCAAACTCGATCGGCGCAACGAGAGTTTGAGCGCTAGGAAGTCACCTTTTCGCATCTGCGAGAATCCCTGCAAAGTCGGATAGGCTCCCTGCAGCACGTGCCGAGTTATCAGGAGTTATTCGCAACCCGGAGGAGGAGCACTGGATGGCCGTGCACTGCAAGGGCCTGCCAACGGACGAAGGCCCGCTGAGCATGCAGGAAGCTAGTTTTAATTGAGATGTTCATCGTGGTTTTGATGATCCTAGTGATGTCCTATAGTGACTATTGGAGGCCTCCGAGGCATCCTAAAAGATGTCAGGGAGGTGGCAAGAGAGAGCTGTCTTCGACAGAGTTGTCACTGCCGGAAGAGGCTACTGTAGCAGGCTTGAGGAGAATTGCATGGGTCAGTCATAATTATTCTTGCCGAGGCCCTTCTACGGTCTACATCGAGTTCGAGCGGCCTGGCCACACTGACGGAGCAACTGCATCTGTTCTGCGGCAGATGGTGCCTGCGTCTAAGCTGCAGATGGAAGGGGGGCCGCTAGACCGCCTGGCAGGCAAGAATACTTTCTGGAAGTGACAGGCTTCCAAGCCTTAGAACCTTAGATTGCAAGTTGGCGGCACCTTGAGGTGGACTTCCTGCCGGGTGCACGCCTCAACACAAGCAGTGTTCAGCGTCCATGTACCTGAGAGCATCTTGATGCAGTCGGAACCTGTGCACTTGTTCCTTGTGCTCTGGGCAGGCGCGTTCGTGTGCTCCCTGAACGTCGGCAGAGCCCTGGACGTTCTGTTTAGGTTGCTAGCTTGCTGCAGTGGAGCCCACTTGATTCTGGGATTGCCTTCGCCTGGCAGGAACATCAACCCAAGTTTCCATCCCTTTGCCTGAATCACAGCCCACCCTGATTGCCTGAAGGAAGGCAGGCCTGGAACAGCCTCTCTCTGATTCTGTGGCTGAGCTGCAAACCAGACCAAGACTGTACAGTAGCTGCGACGCACTTCGGAATGTATCCGAAGAACAGCCCAGCTTTATCATGGTATGCTTTGCCACAGCCTTTGAGTCTTCGAGTGGCAAGTTGCAAGTGGGAAGGTCGGGAGCAGCGATGGCCCTGATAATGTTCGACTTGGGCTGCTTGGCTGCCATCAGTGGTAGTTGCTTCGCAACTCCGTGCAGCTTCCCATATCCAACACGCCCTGCTTGGTCTTGCAAGCACCGCCTGTTTGCAGTGCGATGTCTGAAAGCGGATAAGGGGACCCGAACGAGAGGGGACAAAGGACATATATTTGTGTTTATCGCCTGGAGTTGTTGGACGGTTTCCAGGAAGTGGCCAGGCCTATACAACTTCGTGTGCGGGCCATGCTGGTACCCGTCCACACGCACTTCCTGCGTGACTGGCTAATCCCAGCTACTGATTGTTAAAGCCACTAAATTTAAGTTTTTGGGCCAGATTCGGGGTCCCATGGAGCGTTTCGCGCTAGAGGCAATTTTGTGATATTCTGTGGCCACAACAACAGTAAGAAGGTTTTGTTCAATCAGAGGCGCAGATGAAAAAGGTTTAAGACCCTAAAGACTCTGCACATCATTATTGTTCTACAGACTCAGATTTTGTCATTTCTTTTGTTGAGGGGGCTCTGATTATCAGCCGGTATCAACATGGACCTTTCATTGTGCAAAAGCTACTGTGGCTCGCAAGCCGTACACGGGCCCGCAAGGTCTCACAGGCCTAGAAATCAGTCACTTATTGCTCGCAGGTTTCCACTTGCAGTACTCCGTGCAAGGCATGGACTTTGCCAAACATTGCTCGGTGTAATTGCACACGCGTGGCCTTTGCTCACAGGAACATGTTGCTGCATGCTGGGCATGTTCCATGATCTGTGATCTGCGGCACTGCAGGCACCCTCCTGAAAGATTGCGAAGACATCCTCAGCATCTTGGCAATTGCCGCTGCTGATGATGATCATGATGATGACCATGATGACCATGATGATCATGATGATGATGATGATGATGGTGATGATGGTGATGATGATGTTTGGATTCCCTTTGTGCGTTCAGCATGTGACAAAATGCCATCAAACGGCAACCCGACCAGGCTGTTGGGTTCGTGACAGCAAGTGGCTGAAGCCACATCAGCCCACGTTTCAAGACAGAAGAGTGGTTTGTAACGATTTGAAGATGTGATATTGCAACATTAACTATGCCGTCATGACACTGCTGCCAAGCGGAACTAGCTCCCGGTGCCAGAATTTTCCTGCGGTGCTTACTTTCCCTCATGCTGATTGAAGCATTCGATTGGAACATGCGAAACGACGCGTTGAATCCAGTTTCATCTTGTCATGGTGCAGTATAGACATGCAATGCCTTCTCGAGCTTTGGTAGGACTTCTCATTCTTAGAATGGCCCTTGGTGTTGCCCTCATTTGAGGTGGTCGCTGTCTCGAGCTGGAGCCTCGTGATCGAATCAATGTCCGCTCAGCCCTGGGGGTGCCTCGGCAGAGTTCAAGGAGGGCAATGGGAAAACGTTGGCTATGTTCGAGAGAAGGGAGTCTTCTAAAGCCTGGCATCCAACGGGCTCCAGTATTTTCTGGCTGGACAGCAGGGTTTCATGTGTTGAAGGTCTACCTTGCCATGCTCGGTGGGGCCTGCGACGCTGTGCTGATTTGCATCCTCTTATCCCTCAGATAGCCCAAGCCCAGGCAGGAAGTTACTGGCATCAGCTGGCCAACAAAGCAAACATCGATTGTGCAAGTACATGACCAAATTCAGATGAGATTTGCTAGAAAAGCTTGTCAGCTTGCTTGGCCAGCTTCGCATGCCTTGTAGTTCCTGTATACAGGATGAGAAGGTTGGCCTGTGGCGGTGTCATGGATTCGTTCTGGGAGGAGCACGCTCCAGAGCTTTGCAGCACGTGCCTGCTCCGCAGCAACTTGCTGTCCAGCCTGGGTGCAAAAAGCTTCGCATGCCTAATCCGCAGACCCAGAACGCATGTTTGGAACAGGTCTGCTCTTGTTAATGCGAGCTCCGCCTGTGCCGCACAAAGCCAGCTCTCAAAGGGAGCTGCGTAGCACGGAGCCTACTCGGCTCAGGTCTCGAGAAGGAGATTGGGAGAAAACTGCTGAGATTCATGTTGACGAGCCAATGCCTCAAATCAGGCTGTGTTCGTGACCTGCTTTGAGCCCGCATTCCGTGTTGAACTGGCGTGCATACTGGCCCAAAGCGTTGCTCTGATCAACTATGCTGCTGTCAACCTTCACAAGCAACTAGATGCTCGAGCCATACTTGCAGCTTTCACATGCTTGCATTATTGCAGTTTAGATCGTGGACGTGGAAGCAGCCAGGTTGCCGGCTCATATCTACGGCGCAAAAGATGTAGAATGCCATCATGTTGGCAGCAAACTTAAATCCACTGGAAGTTCTGGTGGCTGCAGTCACAGCACCATACAGAACTAGACAGGCATGTATCGAGCTTAGTTGTTTAGTCCTGCCATGGCTGCCGCCTCGCAAGGCGTCTCGCAGGACCGAAACATTTGGCAAGGATGCGCCGCCGTTTTTTGTCACGGTGCTTTTGAGCCATGCTTCGCAGGAAGCAGCAATCGCTGTTCTTGCTATTCTCGGAGCAAGGCTTCAGAGTTCAGCATGAGCAGCGTGTCTCCCATTGTGCATTCTTGCCTGCACATCGGGACCTGAGAAGCCTCTCTGCAAGGGACCATTACGCGGCCATCGATGCTCCGCGGGAGTCCTCTTTGGCAGAGCTCAGACGTTCTTACCTCAAGGCACTTGGGATGCTGATGTGCTGATGCTAATGACCCATCACTCCCTTGTTCGTCATCTCGTCCTTTCAGGCTAGCTTAGCCAAAGGTTGGGAAGGTATGTGCGCTGTGCCCGTGTTGTTTATGGAGCTGGCATGGCAGACTGAGCGCGCTCGCATGGCTTGAGTTGACAGTTTCACTGCCATGCCATTGACTGCTTCATTGTGGGCTTCATGGTGCTGCAGATGGGTTAATTCGGGTCTGAGGTCAAACCTCGTGACTTTGCCTCTGCTTGTCCATCCCAGTAAGCAGGAAATTCTTTCCCAGCGATCCCAACGAGTTCTGCACACCTCCAGCCAAGCGGCAACCTCCAGCATCGCAGTATCAGCACTTGCGCAGGCCTCTGTCCTCGTCCATCCGGACAAGAACCGCCATCCAGATGCGACGCGTGCTTTTCAGCGAGTGGCTGCAGCTTGGGCGACCCTCTCTAACGAGGAGCCCACCACAAGTTGCCCATGTTCTTTCCAGTTCATGCATGCTACTAGTAGGGAAAAGTCCCTAAACAACTCAGTGAATACTGCCATCTTAGTGACATGGCGCAAAAGCTGTCCCGTGTCGTCTCTCCAGGACAAGCGACGCGCGTACGACCGCGAGCTCCTGGATGGTGATCAATGAGCCTCAGCAAATCTCAGCAACAATATGGCTAGCTTGGCGTCTCGCAGCATCTTGTGCCTTCACGTCAGACTGCAGGCGATGACATCCATATGACGGCAGAGGAAGCCTTCGCAGCGTTCGCTTTTGCCGCAGCCTGCGCAGCAGGTGGCGCAAGTGGCGCCGGCCCAGCTTTCGGAGACATGGCCGAGACGCTTTTCTGGGCACAACAGCTGGGCCAGATGAACGGCTGCGGGCAAAGCCAGCTTCTGGGAACGCAATTGCCTGGCTTTGGTTTTCCTGCGTCTCCCTTCGCAGCGGGCGCAGCTGCGCCAGCTGGGTCGGTAGCTGCGAGCTTTGGCGGCATTGCCCTGTCAGTTGGCCTTTGGTCTGCTGGCCTGGCCGTCAGCATCGTGGGCCTGCCACGGATTGGCGGCTTTGCAAGGCCACGAATCCAGGTCTTGTGACCTTCGGCTTCACACAGCTTTTTTCGAAGGTTTATCAAAGCATCCTCCCGGCTTGGAATATCTTGGAATGTTCTGTGAGAAAGTCAGCAACGTTAACGAAAAGACATTTTGGATGCGGCAAATCTCGCAAGGTAATACACACATATGAGCAGCCGCATTTATTTACGTAAGAGAGCTGAAGAGGGACCTCGTTGGTATTTTTCTTGAAAAGCCAGCGTTCCTCTGGGAACTAGATAGGGC